AAAGAGGGATTAGTATTTCCCAGGGACCTATTCCTACTATTGTATCATCCCTGGGAAGCTGAATAATTGCACCGTAGACTCTCCAGTCCACTCCACTGGTATGTGACATACATAATCTCAGGTGAATGACCGTGCTGCGGAGACCTTCCTTCCCAAGGAGAATCCTCACAACAGATATTGTAAACTCTGGGCCCTCATAGCTGTTTTTCCTGCTTCTAGTTCACTTTTCCTCTGGTCTGGCCCAATGATTTATCACCTTCACGAGGATCAAAATCTGCTTTCTGCACTTCAAGTCATCAGCAGTGCCTAAGACCCGAGTTAAATCAATAAGAAGTTTACCCTGTAAATTAAATCTTTCTTATCTACAGTTTATGAGACACTGTCAATCTTGCCAGCATATACAGAAAGAATAAAGAGGAAAGAAATTGCTACCAGGGTTGTTGCCTTCAACCTTAGCATTTATAAAATGACACGAATGCTTGTGATATAACTGGATTAACAGGAGAAGAGAGAGAACAAGCTGTAAAGTCTAGCTGCCTTATACTGTTGCAGTAGTGTAGGATGCAGAGTAGCCTTAACTCTAAAACCAGTTTTGCTCTTCTTCACTGTCCAGGGATTTAAAAACATTAAATCGAACTAAATCAGTTTCCTGCTCTCACTCTTGCCATGACAATGCTATCTAGAGGGAAGCGGAATAGAAATATAGCACTTCTAAGGCTGAACACCCCTGAAATGCCAGAGGAACCAGAGCAGCAGTAGGCAGCCAGGTGAGTGACCTTGGGCTAGGCGCAGGCACTGCCTGCTCAACAGGGGCTGAAGTAGAAATAAACCAAACTCAGGATCGAGGAACTTTGACAGAGCCATCTGGGAAAGACTGCAGATGGAAAACAAGACATGAGAAAACATACAGGCAAAGGTGTTCTCTTTGCACACAGATGTGTGTTGTGTTACACAGCAATGCATTTAGTTGTGCTGGCCTTCAGTGGGCATCTGTTGCAGATGAACATTTTAAATCACTTGTTCCAGAATCCTGATTTAGGTTCCTGCCGACTATGCCAATTTGTTGCAGATGAAATATTCTACAAGGTTATGATTTAGCAACAATTTGAAGTTTGTTAATGGTGTGAAGTAGGTCAAAAGGTTGAATTTTAGCTGCACTTAATCAAGCAAAAATCATATATGTAGACTCTGATGTGGTTTGGGCAGGTACCACACATTGGCTTTGCCAATGGGAAGCCCCAAGTTGGGAAATAAATAGATTCCTCTTCCATGCTAACCTGTTTCTAATAGATAAGCTTCCATTTAAATCAAAGTAAGAGGGGCTGTATCACCTTTTGCACTGGTTGGATTAGGGCTGTATTTCTCGCAGTCTATTGCAGGCAGATGTGATCTCACATTGCCTATAGCCTGATCTGACCAAATGTATGTGCCGTAAAATGACATTTGCGCACCTGTTTTATTTTATTTTTCTCACAAAAAACGACATTAAATGATCAACATAGCATCCAACTTCTGACATTTCTCAGCTAGAGAATTCCTATGTGTCTAGAATTCTTCCAAAGTCAAATTTCCCCTGAATCCCCTGTGGGCTTTTCTGCATGACTGGCTTTTTATACTTTCTTAGAAGAAAGGAATCACAGTCATATTACAAGGAACACCTCCATCCTCATTCATTACAGTCACATTTCAACTGGTCTGTTGTTTTTTCTTCCTCGGTCCATTTTTCTTGCCTCTCCTCCTCTCATGTTGATGCTGCTCATTAAAGACAGCAGCTGTGAGAATCATCTTCCACTAGTAACCCAGTTGTATGCTCCTTTTTAATTTACAGCCTGAGTTAAAGCTTCCAGCTGTCATTGTTCAAAGCAATTTTTTAGCCTAAGAATATTACCATGCTCAAGTTTATCTGTATTTTTGTGTATTACCACGTACCTTTCACCTCTGTGACTGTATGTGGCCTTATGTTTTTTACTCACACTTTTGCACAGGGCTACATATCATAAATACAAAATACATACTTGTACGATATATCCACAATATAGGCCTTGCTGCTAGTACTTTTACTCACTTATAGCAATACTCTTATTCTTAACATTCAGGATTGCTGAAAATGAAGCAGATGCATGTTTTTAATGGTTGGAAATTGTCAGGGTAAGATGAGAAACATCACATCCTCCATCTCACTGAAAGCAAAGGGAACAAGAAGAATATTTCTCCATTGCTTTGCAGTTTGAGATGTCTGTTACACCCATACAAAAGAATTGATTCCATTAAAACTCTTGGCTTGGGCCCCCTTAGTTGCATCTGTCACACAGTTTTCACACAGGCAAGTGATAACAAAAGGTGCACCACAACATAGTGTGGAAATCAGGTCCTCCAATTTCAGACAACACAGGGAATGGAAGTACATGACAAAGGGAGATGGAAGAGCCCTAACCTCCCAGACAGAACTATCTCCTAGCAATTCTACCTCTCTAGAAATAAATAATGCGGTTTCTCTGGGAAAGCTCGTGTTTGTGTCAGGAAGGTGCTAGATTCGCAGAATATAAGCATCTCAGGCCAAGCCACCATAGGCCACAAATTTAGCATCTTAGGACATAAATCCAGCAGCTGGTTTAAGCAGCACTGTCCATCTCCAGCCATTCATTCCCCCCTCTCTCTCCCCCTTACATCTATCATGGAGGGAATCCCAAATCTAGGAACAGAGCAGGCCCAAAAAATAACTCAGGAGAAAACCAGTAAAAAATCAAGGAGATGCTTATTCAGCTCGATCAGCTCTCCACCCTGATTCACTGCACGGCTGCACAAGCACTTGCAGGGGGAAGAAAGGGCCAGGAGGGGGCATTTTTGGTCAACTTAAATGCACATTCAGCTTTGGCCTCAGGATCTGGTTCCACTTTTCTTATATCAGAGGCACCATCAGCTTATGGAATTGCTCCCCACCACCACCTTATTTAAGGGTTATTTTTATCTCAGTCAGGATGACAGTCAGACCCCGCAAACAACAGTGCTGACACAACCAAAGAAACGGTGCAGAGGCAGGAACTCCCTAAGGCAGTGCTGCCGAAGGAAAAAAAAGATGAAATTGTACCATTAAATAAGGAAACAAGAGAGATGTGAGCTCAAAGAGCTCTCCAGGGCAAGTACACAGGCAATCCATCCAGATCAAGCTTTGAGATTTTCTTTAGCTGAGGGAAAGAAAGCAAAGCAAGAAGGTCCCTTCTGCAAGGCTGCGCCGGGGAGTTGCCACAAAAACTGAGCATTAAGGCAGTACTTCACTGCTTTCTTAATTGTGCTGTTGTGAAAATCCAGGACGTGAGATGAGCAGAGTTCACCATGTCCAATAACTGTCCTTTGGAACCCCTCTGAGTGACAGCTAGGGTTAGTTTTGCTCATTTTGATTCTGCTCTTTAGTGCCTTTTCCCTATTCTCAAACAACAACTTAACTCTTTCATCCCATAGGGATTT